TGAAAAATGTTTAAGTGCGTGTTTATCGATGATCGATGGACGATCGAACAGGTGTTATTCTAACGAAAGTCACTCTGAAATGATCTGAGATTATTGTCCACTGTGACTAGTATTATGGTGTTGTCCACTGTGAGTGGGTTTTATGGCGTTGTCCACTGTTGCTATATATATAGCATATTTTAGAAATATTTTCAGGTATAATTTACAACGTTTTTGATTGTGAAAACATTTTACAAAAAAGCGGAATGTCCCTTTAAGAGGAAATTATTTTGTGATTTAGAAAACTTAATGTTAAGACGACAATTGAAGAATGGAGTTAACAGCGAAGACGCCAATATTAGATTTTCAAGAGTATAATATTAATATACAAGCAGGTGATATTACTGATGATGATTTAAAACAAACTGGATATTGTTATATCAAAAATCATGGAATACCCAAACATCAGGTAGATCTATTATCATTTTGATTGTTAGATATTATACACATTCAACATAATAGTCTAAATATTTGCTTTATCCTCTGAAGGAACTCAATTTCAGGTAATGGCATCTCCTTTCAGAATGAAACAGCTCGTCACCTGAGAACCAGACGTCTATGTCCACTTTTGTGAAAAATTGAGTTAGCAAATGTAGAAAAGAGACCACGTTCTATGTCCATACCAAATTTCAGCCCCTTAGTATCATTTTGGAAGGTTTTTTTTTTCAACTTTAAAAATTGTTCTAATTCCAACTATTCTACTTTTTTTTAGAACCATAGTGTTCTTTGTCTCTTTTTATCCAATAGGGTTTCAGATTTTGTCGGTAGTTTTGTACTTTTATTTCCCTTTAATTCGGATTAGTTTATTTTTGAATAGATTGTCAATACATTATAATTATGAATTAAAATTGGGGCATTCACTTTGCTTCAAACTACCTCATAATGTCAATTTAAGGATAAAGTTTGGTTCTCAGAATGTTCATGTATTTTCCTTGGTAATTGTCTGCAACCCGAAAATCATGTTTTACCACTAAATGGAGGCTAAGTAGATCGATGATAATTAATGATATTTAGTAAATTTAGATCAGTAATGACAATTATGCAAAGTTCTCCAATGAAATACGAAAAAAGTCCGTGGTTTTGAAACTTAGAACTCCATTTTATTGAAAACCACTTTTGTGGATATAGAACAGTCTGGTTCTCAGGTAACGAGCTGCTCCCGGTTTCACTGCCATAAAGTCACTTTAAAGACGTCAAAACAGTCTAACTTATACATTTATATAATATGCAGTCTAATTAAAATTAAACCAAACTTTCGCAACTTCAGTAAGCGTCTAAAGACGGGCTTCTTGAACATTCGTAAGTTTGATGACACCGCCAGACAATCAAATATCTGCATTAGATATACAAATATGAAGCATTAGAGAGACAGTAAATTCACCTTTTGATCGCGTCTATTAGAAATGAAGTGCGGGCACAAATGGGGCTGCAAACCTTAACCCCACTGGCGCCGCCATTGTCTGTACACGAATCTCGGTTTATAACTATCACGAAATGCTTTCCCTTTCTTCCAGCT